TGAGGACAAATCATATTGCATGCATTATCGCTTGCAATATGATCTGTGAAATACTTAACACAAATTCATGTGTTGAGCATGCCACTATCCAAATTGTCAAATGCATATTGGAATAATTAAATATGCATACAAATATTTTGTCTTATAGAAATGACAAAACAGACGAGTCAAATTTCTGACTCATAAATTATTTCGTTACTGACAATTTGGGTTTTTCGGTCATGCTTGATATTTGAGAGTTTTGGGTTGGCGTGACACATTAAATACCGCACACAACGTATTGTGTGTGGTCATGGTTAATATGCCACTACAACATGTCGTCCGTCGACTTATATTATAATAGTAGTATTATAAATAGTTGTATAATAGTGAGTATAAGAATGAACTAGTATATACACGTTATATATAAAAAATGAACTATAAAGTATATATTAATTACTATATTCATAATTCTATATTCTTATATTAAAATATTCTTATATTCTTATATTATATTCTTATATTCTTATATTTTTTTAATATTAAATAAGACCGATATGCTATACAATATTTTACATATTCTGCTACCCTTGCCCATTCTACCTCATAACTGTTTAAAATATTTATAATGTTTTCATAAGATAGAATAGCTTTGCTAAAGTAAGCTAATCGAAACTCTTGTAGAATAGGACAACGGCCAAGAAAATGTACAATATCCTCAGTCTCATCTAAATTACACACGAGATATTTGACGAGTATGTGCCAAGTCTTTCTTTTAAATAAGTTTTTAATAATTTGTTTTTCTTTTGAATTCATACCTTCGCGAATTAGTTTTGTGATTTAAGGTGTACCTATTTTCTAGAACATTAATATAACAATTGGAAATATATTAAATATCAAAATTGCTTATTTGCTATCATATATATAGTTTCGTTCAATTCCTTTCTACGTCTATTGAAAGTACTTAGAAGAGCAAGAATTAATAAATTTTGTTACGACGCCCTAGATTTCTAAGAAATTGTCCTTGAGGTTCATTCTTGCTTGCATCGGTCTAAGTAAATTCTGTTCAATTAAGCAATTGCTATTATTGTTGAACGCCTTTGGTAGAGGTGCCACTATTTCTTCATTAATAGTGGTTTGTCCATTAAATGAATGTCATGTCAGAGTTCTGGTTATAATTATAATTAAGTCCGTTGTTAGTCAAGTAATGTTTATTTAGTTTATATTGGTTAACGAATTTACTTTTATTTTTTTTAAAAATGCTGATCTTGTTTAAGCATATTTCTTTCCTCAAGGATGTAATGCGCTCCCCATAGACATTTGATATGCCTTTGAATACTATCTCACTACCATGAATAATACTGGCTAGATTTGGATCTATAGCATTAGGAAAAATTTTAAGTATGAGCTACACATTGGTATTGGGTTTAAATTCGATAGGTTTGTTAACGTCAAATTCATATTTAGAATTAAGTTTATCTAGTATATGTATTAAACTACGGAAATATTTACTTACATTTGTATTTTTGATCTGTGATGTTTGGTGGTAAGTTTCCCTAACGTCAAAATTCCTGTAAGATATACTTATTATTCCGTAATATTATTAAAACACGCATTGATAGTCTTTTAATATTTCGTTTATTGTTACGATTTCTTAATGGTGTTGCTCAAGCAACATACCAAATGCTTCTGTTCTCTAAGAGCGGAGCAGCATACACATGCAGCTCAAAGTGCTTGGACTCATAACTGCAAGATCAACAGTTAATGCTGTTGCGGTATATAGTGTGGCTTAAGAATAAGTGAATAATACTTTTTTTAAGTAGACTCACAAAATGAGTAACGGATGTTTTTGTTTATATTATGTATGCTACATTCCTGACTAGTTCGGATTTTATTTCTTCCGACATTAGATGAGGTCCTAGTGTTCTTACGCACTGCTAAACTGTTCCTTGTATTTTGTTCCTTACGAACCATACTTTTGGAAAACGAACTCCTTTTTTTTACACTTACAACCACAACTATTTATAAAATATTTACATATTATTTACATTATTTTTTTATACTTCTAAGAGCTGCTTCATTATATCGACTTTTTCTCTTTTTCCTTGTTTGACCATTTGCTTTTCGATTTTATTGCATTTATGCAATTGCTCCATTAAGTGATTTAACGTACAATTTTTTTTTCTTTTTCCTTGGAGTTTCTTCTCACGAATCTTCAGATGGTTCTTCAGACGATGATAAAACGCGGATGTAATCGATCCACTATCGATTGGAGATAATGAACAAAGCTTTTCATCCGAAAGTCGACGTACATACTGTCTAGAACCTGTTCCACCAAACAAGAGCAGTTCGAGTATTTATCACCTGACGAATTGCTTGCGAGATGCTTGGAATTTAAAGTTATACAAAGTGATAGTGGAAACATTAGTTTTATTTAAATAAAATATTCATTAAAAATGATTTGATATATTCGTAATGAGTGATGTAAGTACTTATATAAATATTTATGGATATATAATATTAAATATAGGTATTAATAATTATTATTAACAAATGAGGTTCTATATTTGAATTACCATATTCAAATATAGAACAACAAGTATATCGTCTACACATTTCCACCATGCATGCATTCGAAAAGGTGTAATTAAGATTTTTGAATGTATTTCGATTTTTGAGTCTATATAATGCGCTACTTTCTTGAGAAAGCCCCTCAATTTGCTGATAATATTTCTCATTGCATGTGAAGTAGTTGCAGTGCTTGAGAATGAAATTTATTGATTGTTCTAATAGATTGATTGTGGTGGGACATTTTTTTTGCAAACCATGGTAATTTCATTATGTTCTGTAGGGTTTTTATGAGTGGGAATGTTGGTGTGTTGGGATACATATCTTTAAGGTGGAGTTAGACGGTAGTTAACGTAAGAAGTTAAGAAGAAACGAAATGAAAATTTCGCTTTAAGTTAAGGCGGTGTTAGACGGTAAGCAAGCAGCTGATTTTGTTTACATTTGAACATGCAAATAAAATATTTTCAAAAGTTCCAGTCGGTAGTTGAGTGCCCGCAAGTGTAGTGAAATTCTTTATTATCTTTGTTGAAAGTGAAATAATTAAAAATAGTTTAAGTAAATTATTAAGAAATATGTATAATCAAAATGAATTGACTGTGCAAGCTTGTAATGTGTTTTATGATTTCAGCATGAGAAATCAAATTCCTCTATTTGAGCTGCCAAGAGTATGTCACTGCATTGTTTTATTACTCTGGCTTGCTTCTTCTTTTCAAATGTTGATAAAATGGCCATCGCCATTTGACCGAAGCCTTCAACTACTTCATTGTGTTGTGGGACCTTAAAATTGGTCTTGATGAAATTCTCATATGTTGCCGTTGCATTCAACACGGCTCTGCCAAGTTCATCGCGATTCACAATTTTTCTTTTTCTGGTAGTTGATTGTTGAGGAAAAGAGAATTGTGAAGTTTGCGAAACGACTACAGGTGAAGGTGAAGCTAGGAGATATGGTACTTTCTCGCATTCTGTAAAAAAAATATTGATTATCAAAAAAAATACATTTAAATAATATAAAAGGATAGAAAAATTAACGTTATTTCCAATTAAACTGAACCTAGACCCATCAAAATACTTGTATATTAAAATATTTTATGTTTTTAAAAAATACTAACTTAATACTTTTCACTTACTGGCGTGGAAGTATATGCTTCTTCAAAAACATTAACTGCCTGTAAAAGTGCCATTCCGTCGATGTGCTAGCACTACTTCCAGATGCTCCGTCTCGGGATTCTTTACCGAAGCGCTCTCTCAAACTTCTCCACCGATTTTTTACTGCATTCTCTGTTTTAAAAAAAGAAATGTTTATAAAATTGTTAAAATGTATAAATGTAGATTGAAAATTACCATTTACTTCCAATTCTTCAACTATTTCCCTCCAAATTGCATTTTTTTTGTCATTATTTTTAAAGTCTTTATGACTTTTGTCATATAAAATTGAATTTTTTTCAACTAGATTAATTAATTTTTCTTCATTCATTTTGTTGAAGTTGATAAAATTTTAAAACTTTTTTAATTTAAATATTTATATGTAAAACAGTATTTTTTTTAATTAACTTTTAACTGCAATAAAAAAATAAACATAAAAGAAAATAAAAATATCACACCCACTCTCAACAAGATTTCACGAACAATTGAACATGTAAACAAAATATTATATATGGTTAATATTGTATATATTATGAGAGGATAGGCGATCAGATAAAGTTGTTTTTAATATGTATTGTATTAATTTATGTATTGGTGATATATACCTTCCAATAGGACTACATATTGGTCGTATAGGTGTATTAATTTTATGGGTTTTTATTGTACCATATCTTTGATTTCTTTATATATTTCTCTTGGGAACACGGTATTTTTTGGTATATGATTGACATAAATGTGGAGCTAGTTTTATATAATAGGCGGTTATATGACGTTTTAAAGCTTCTTGATTTCCGGTAAATTCATGACAAGAACTAGTATTAGTATAGGAAGATATCCATGCAGACATTTTCTCTATGTAATCAGTTCGCTTCATAAGCACTGTTGATTTACATTTATCTGATTGGACTATCACTAGATCTTGATGTTTTTTCAGATAATCTGATGCATACTCATATAATTGTTTTAATGATTGTTGGATGAGGATAAGGTTTTTTTTTCTCTATTATGTCTAGTACTTTATTATAATGAGATTTCATTTCAAATGGGTTATAAATACTTAGATTGATAAATGATTCGGTAAAATCATCATATTTTCTTATTACTTGTAGTAATCGGTTATATCGGGTATTTTTATTGGACAGTAGTCTGGACCGAAACTTAATAGAATTTGAACCTCTAAAGGCACTTTATATGTACTTAAATTTGTGAAGCCACCTGATGTTAATTTTGGATATAATAGAATATATTGTTCATTCGTTGGGATGATTGTATCATATAATGTGGATTTGAAGAGATTTTTGGATGGCTTTGTGCCATAAGTAACAGTATCTAATTTATAATCCTTTAACGGTTCCTGATGATCGTTTCTCCATAGTATACATTGTAGAAAATTATCAGGTGGAGTAACGCCAACACAACGATACATTTTGCAAATATTTGCTGTCAACGCGATAGGAAAGGATCGGAATCGAAGAAGTATGTCAATCAAATTGGACTGGATTGTAGGTCCTGACATTAGTATATCATTCAGAGAATATCCTGTAGAAGTTGGTGCTGAACCGTCAAACACAACACGCAGCTTTGTGGAAGAACTAGACGCCTTTAGAACACAATGATGTGATAAGTAATACTTCGGAAGACATGCTTCAGTGTCAGCAACTGAAGACATGTGGTTAAGATCCAAATATTCCTTCATGAAAGCAATGTATTGCGTCTTACAATTAAGGTTTAGCTGTAGTTTGCGTTCTAAGCTATGAAAACGTCGCAAGGCTTGAATATAAGAGTCTCCAAGTAGATCTATATCTAGTCTTAGCGGTAAACGAACAGAATATTCACCTGACTCATTGCGAGAAAAATGCGTCCTAAAATGAGTTTCACAATCTAAAAGTTCTTTCGTTGTTTTGACAATCCAATCAAAACAGTTTTCCGTTTCCCAAAAGCTTTTGACTTGTTGATCCAAACTTAAATCGTGTTCAATTTGAGATGATGTCTTTTTAAAGGCCGCTAATGTGGCTGATGGAGTAGCATATTAACTTAAATGAAACTATCCATCCGAGTAATGTTTTTTGTAGTATTGGCAATTGGGGAGCCAAGCGAATTTGACCAACGCATAATAATTCGAAGAAAAGAGCTGCACCTATAAGAACATCAATTCGTTGAGAATTGTTAAATTTTAGATCTGCAAGCTGTAGATTTTTTGGAACTAGTATTGACGTTACTACTGGGTTGCTGATCAGTGATTTTAGTGGTGATAACTGCAGTAATGTTAGTTGAGTATTTGACAAAACGAGACTGTATAGTTAGCTCTGGAACTATTAGAGACAAAATCCCCATCACCAATTCCAGATACCATAGTGATGGATTTTGTTGATTTCAGCTGCAGTTGATTTGCAAACGATTTTGTAATAAAGTGTAACTGGAAAGCAGAGTGCAAAATGGCACGGCATGGCACGAAGGAGCCCGCACGATTCTTTACTAAAATAACTGCAGTAACATTCTAATGAGGGATAGTTTGGGCGCTGTTGCGATGAGTTCGTTGATACCAATGAAGCTTTTATATATGATTCAGCAGTTGATGTTGTATTGTTTTTCGCAGTCAAATCAGAAGACATAGTAGAAAGCGCAGAAGATACATTGGTCTGAACGAGATTATTGAAATGTAGAAGTGTATGATGTTGTTCTGAACAGAGACGACAACGCGAAGATTTACACTGCTTTAAATGATGTGTTTTTTTAAACAGTTTAGCAAAGACTAAGCCTTCTAGCTTCATTCAGACGCAGTTTTGGAGAAAGGTTGGCAAATTTAGAACAAGCATAAATGAAATGATTAGTATCATTACAAAATGTGCATCTAGATGTTGGTGATTTTATGGTGACAAAAGTCTTTCGATTAAATGGGAAACACTGGGCTCCCCTGTTGTTATTATTAACAGCAGCTCTAGTGGAGTAAATAACGTGCTCTAAATCCTGGCATCTCTTGCCAACAAATTTAGACATTTCATTCCATGTCGGTATTGTATCAAATGATGTTTCGAATGTGACGTTGGGTCCAACCTTTGCGCAACAAGGTGAATAATAAGACAGTCAGCGATTTGTTCTTTATTGCCCAATGTCGACAGCGCTTGCAAATGCGAATTTATTTTATCACTTAATCGACGTAGTCCTTCTACTGAATTTGGTTCAACTCGTCGCAGCCCAAACAACTCATTTATGTGTGCCTGAAAAATAAATCTTTTATTGTCAAATCTTAACAAGTAAATTAAGTGACTTATCATAGTTTAAGTCATTAACTTCAAGTGACTTAATTGTATCCAACGCAGAATACCTCAAACATGATCGCAGATGCTGAAGCTTCTCTAGATTACTTAGATCTGCACTGCTATCAACAATCGTCTTAAACATAGCATAAAAATACGGCCATTCTGTAATTTTGCCATTGAATGTAGGTAATTGCAGTTCAGGTAATCTTGACCGAGAATACTTAATGTTGATGGAAGAAGTTTCATCTGTTGATGGATATCTGGTAGATGATTGCACATTGTTAGATCGGCGATTGTTAAGTGCTATCATAAGCGCTGTTTTTAATTCCACATATGATTCGGAAAAATTAGATCTTGCTTCACCTTCAAATTCGTCATAGTTTTCTTCTTCAAGGTTAGATTGTGATTTTTCAAAATTGTCATTAAGTTGCTCAAGAGTATCAACATAAATTTGTAATTGCACTACATGGCAACAACTTATAAAATCTTCGTATAAATTTTGACTCAAATTAAATAGTTGTCTGGTTAGAGTACGTATGTCGATGATAAAGGAAAACGGTATATATTCTAACCGAATATAACCTGGATTTTATCTGGATTGATATCTATAATTAAATAATAATATAACCAAAAATAGTATGTAATTGAGTATATTTAAGATACAATTTTTAATGACAAATATGTTAATCTTTAAGCAATAATGACTAATTAAATTAATATGGTTTGTTGGCATGTTGAGCTGATAAAAATTTAACAATTATTACAAAAATTTATACAGAATTGTATATCTACTTGAATACCTAAGTATTAAAATATTATACATTAAAGTTTGCACTTTTTGCAAATCCTACAATGATGCGCACGTGGTGGTCTGTATGTTTCGCAACATGTGCATACAGAGTCCACTCGCTATTTCCATTTGCTCCACTATTTATTTTTGCTAGTAGTACACAGGTCTCTGAAATCTAAACGATTTGCAGGCAATAGTACTGTCCCAGAATCAGAGAGAACTACCTTGAGATGTAACATACTCAACAGAAAAACGATGCTGTTGAATACTACAACATGAAATGGTGCCCATATACTAATTGAAGAAAAATTTGCATTAACCCAATGTAAATATAAATGTAATATTCTAATAAGACAATACGTGGCTTGCATAATTATCCATCGCAATACAACGTAATCTGCATAGAAGACCACGAATTGTGGAGTTGATAGGTTTTCCATTATTCGGCCAACTAATTCAGCCATGCTTTCTAAATTTCCAGCGTTGCATACCGACAAAATGCATCTAATATTGCTGGGCAAGCGTTGTAAGCAAAGAGTTGAAAAGGCATCTTCATAGATGTTGGTACCAGCTAGATTGCGCATGTCACGAAGCAATTGTGATGGTCGCTCTAAGTTGCTGCTCACTCGAACTGTTTACTTGCTCTATGCCATGAGTTTTGTTTTTTACGTAATATAAATATAAAAAAAAACGATGTATATTGTTGAATATAAATCGAACCATACGAAAGAAGTATAATTAATAAGACGTGTTTATGCTTGGAAATCGATATTATAACGAAGACGTAGCTCAGTGGTGTACTGAGTTTTTATACCGATAAAACGACTTATTCGTTTTTTTTTTTTATTTTATTTTATTTTATTATATAACCTCTTAGATTTTATGTTGATCGGGGTCACCAATTGTAGGGTGCTAGGTCCTACTATAGTTTAACTTGTGTATTTATTTGTTGCCGGTTCGGATAAAATGTGGCACCTTTTAGTAAGGTACCTTCATTGTTTGACGCAATAGTCTTCTTCTGAATATATCATCCAACAAATGATTTTTTTTTTTACTAATAAAAAAAAAATGATATTTAGGACAAAGTTGTGAAAAAGTTTTTAGCTTTACTAATAAACTTAACACTTTGTGACAATACCAAATTTAATACATGTGCGTTGCAATGAATGAATATAGCTTGTGGGAAGTTTTTCATGACTTTAGCTTGAGTACCATTCAAATCACTATCAAGTTTGCATCACCATCATAAGTTTGCGCAACAAGTTTGTCATCCCAATTCTTCGTTTTAATAATATCAATTATTTTATTAGATATAGCAGTCGCTGAATGATCTGAACTTAGGTTCCTTATTTTATAAAATCTCTCTCTTGGTAAGACGTGGCCATCAAAATATCAAAAAACACGAGAAAGTTGTGATTTTTTTCCAATATCTGTATCATTATTAATTCCATTTGAATAGAGTTTGATGTATTCATCAAAGTACCCTTTGAATGTAGTAGCAGTAGCCAAATGAAGTTCAAATAATAATCATAATTAGCGAGTACATTAAGCAGCTCTTTATAATTTGGTTTTTCGAACTTTGGGATATGTCATTGCCTCTAAAACCAAGTTCTTAAGTTATAAAATTTTACGGTTTTTTGAAATCTGTTTATTGTGTTGAGTTGTTGCTATTTATTTATTTTAATTAGGATTTTAGAATATTTTAATTAGTAGTTAAATAATACATTTCTTTTAAAAATTGTTTTTGGTTTTTAAAAAATGTTATTTAAACCGATATTTTGACTATAATCAATATTCATCATCAAGGTACTATGACTGCAAGTACTTCCAATTCGTAAGAATGATACTTTTCCTCAGCTGGAGTTGTTTTCCGTCTAAAATATTGAATTTGATGAAATTCTCTATCCTCAGGATCTCTCTGGAGCAACATTCCTTCACACCCAAACTTACTGGCGTCAGTATGAACTTCAGTCACTACCAACGGATCAAATAACTTCAGGACCGAAGTATTAACTAAAGTTTGTCGGTATACTGAACTTTTCAATTAGAGAGATTTTCGCTTTCGATGGCTGAATAGAATAATCTTCTAATACATAATCCACAAAATTAATTTTTTCCTTCCAAAATTGTGATTTAGAAAATTTAATCTGAATTCCATTTGTAGATGCAACGCTTTATACCAACTTCCACTTTTTCAACCCTTCAACTACACCTATGGAGGGAATTACTTTGTGGTCAGCATAAACGACAATGATACCATCACGAATTAAATTACTAAAAACTGCTTGAATATATCTTGCGAAAACTGCTGGTGAATTTGAAATACCGAAAGAGACGAAACAATATTCGTATTGACTTCTGTGCGTGATAAATGCTGTGTACTTTCTAAAAGTCTGATTAACCCGAACATGGGAAAAGCCTTTCTTAAGATCGAGCGTTACAAAAACGTTTCCTTCTTGTAACCTATCGAGCACGTCCTCCATAAGCGGCTTTAAAAAATCATCTTACACTATCTTTCTATTTAACCTACGATAGTCACAACATAGAAGCTTTGTACCCTCTTTATTTGAAATCAGAACAATAGGGTAGCGTATTCCAATGTACTTGGTATGATACCTTCTTCTAACCAGCTTTCAATTTGCTTGTCTACATACAGTTGATTTTCATATGAAATACGCCGTGCTCTCTCATAATCTGAGATATCGTAGGTAAGAACGATTTTCATAGAAACTGGTTAATTATTTTGTCGATAAGGCTTCTACCCCTTAACTACGTCTTTGGCCACCTTTTGTATATTTGTATGATCATGCGATACTTTCGAATCCAATCCACCTACCTGGTATTTCTTCTCTACCATCAAACACAAACTTTCAAATTCTTTTTGAATTCTTCTCGTCAACTTAGTACAAAATTTTGCCTCTTCAGCTTCAGATATTTTTAAGAAATCACATTTTTTCACAAATGAATGTTAATGAAATTGAGAATGTTGTTGTCTATAACAATGGAATAATTAACTTCATCAGCTCTAGTGACATGAAACATTTGCGAACGTCTGCCTTAAACTTTTTAGAACTGTGAAAACCTTTCTTTAGAGTTCCTCGTAATTTTTCATAAACTAGAATTAACATCTTTCGATGAGGTGATCAATGAGCAATATCTATTATATATATCTTTCTGATTAAAACTTCTTTTCTCTTTTAAACAAATTAATAGCAAAAAAAAAACTTGTATCTAATATCAGGTTCGCACTATCTCATTTAAGCACTTGCTCATTTATATAAATGAGGAAGCGTTTACATAATAATAAGCTCATTTATACAGCTTTTAGAACTTTTATATATCAAAAAAGCTACAAAAGAACTTTCTTTTGTTTACAAATAAAACACAAAGAAAAATTTCGGTACAATGTAAGATAATTAAATGGAAAACGTGGAAAATTTAAAAAATATAATATATAATGTGTGTGAAATTATTAATAATAGAAAGAAAGCAATTTTTGAATATCGTAAATGTCGTGCAATGCACCGAAAAAATATACTTGAAATAAGAAAAAAGCAAATAGCAATACTTTCTACAATAATTGCTAGGAACCGGAGGAAGTGCTGGGTGATTAATGGTGTCAAAATACCCGTCCTCGGTGACTCTGCATTTCGGTTTTCCACCAAAGTTATGAAACCATACCCTTATGATGAAAACGCTAGTATTGGTCAAAAAACTTTTAACTGCTAATTATCTAAATGTTCTGAAAACTCACCTGCAATACTTTGAAACACTAATTTTGTAGTGTTATGTATTGGCAAATTGCCTAGAAATCTTTTCAATATATGGAAGTACTTCCAGTCGAATGGCGCCCCTCCCGAAACTCAACACACTGTTGTTCTTTCCTGATTTAAATTAAACAAACAAGCAAATTAATAAAAATAAATAAAAAAATTAACAAAATCACATTTAAATCTCTTTTTATTATTTGAAAGTACATAACATAATTAAAAACAAAACAGTTTATTATTGTAATTTTCAATTTCACTTATGAAATACTTACCTAAATCTTTGTGTAAAGTTGTGGACCTTCGTATGCGCATAATAACGAAGTGACCAGAAATCCCTTATTCTGAAGTTCTGCGGCCATCTCATTGAAAATATGTGTGTTCCGTCAGTATATAGAAATATTATAGATGTTTAAGAAAATTATCTTTAATTTTCTTTTGTGTTTTTTAAGCAAAAAATTTTCTTAAATTTTTGCATCCCATCCTCATCGCCAGAAATATTATAGATGGCTTCATCCTTTTCACCAAATATAATTAATGTACTAGTACACCTTTGTAGCCAGTGATTTTAGTGGTAAGTGCACGCTTCCAAATAACTCACTCGAAAGAAAACTACAATGATAATTTTGATACTTTACATTTTTATTTTATTTATAATTCAATTTTATAAAATTTTAATATATTTTATTAGTTTTATTTAAACAAATCTTTTAATATTATATAGTTTCATTTTAAACATTATAGTTTTCATTTTAAAATCTACTTTAATTCACAATTTCATTTTTGTTTATTTTCTTAATACAATTATATTTTAATTTCATTCAAATTCATTCAATTATATTTTTTAAATTCACTTTAGTTTTTCCATTTTTCATTTTTTTTATTTGAGTTCATAAATTAATATTTTCAAATAGAGTTAGGAACTCACGACCGAGCATGTTGAAATCTTATTCAACCTTTTCAGTTCTAAGCGACCGAGTATGAAATCTGTTTCATATCATCTTCCAATACTACTTCTTTCTATTGACTTCTTTGTTTAACTTCTTTGTTTTGACAAACTTAACATATTTGATCCTCGTTTTTATACTTCGTTTTAAGAACAAAAATCAAGCTCTTAACTATGTTAAGTTGAAGCTTTGATTTTTGTATGGAAAATAACTTTAAGTT